ATTTAAAAAACCTTTGCCAGAAAATTTTGGGATAGCAAAAAATTTAAAATTTTCACAATATAACTTTAGACACACTTTTCCCTTTTCAATTACACATAACTGATATAAAACTTGGCCAGAATTTTCTTATCAAATTAGTAAACAAATAATTTTAAAAATTACCCAAATTTGGGTTATCAAAAATTTAATTGTAAAATTATAATCCCCTTTTATTTTAAGTAAATTTTGAAATTTAAAATCCCCCTCCTTCTGTATTTCACAAAATTATTAAGTAAATTTTTAAACCCAATTTATACCCCACAATTACCTTTGGGTTTAAAAAAGGACAAGGGAAAGAAAAGTTTTAAAATTGCCTTTTTTTGGAAGTATAAATTTTATACACAACCCGTAAATGAAAAATGTTTAATAAATTTTTTTAAACACTGGGGCAAGTAGGAATTTGGGACACTTAGGGCCAAAAAATTCCCCCTTCCCTTTTACCCCTGTCATATCCACAAGTTGCTCTGGACCCTATTAATTTTAAAAGAAATATACATCAAACCCGGATATTGGAAATATATAAATTTTTGGACCCGTATATTAAAAATAATAAATGGGGTTTTTTTTATTTTTACACATTACATAAAAGAAGGAAAAAAAATTTAATATCACTCACCAATTTTACGGAGATTAATGGGGATCATATCAAAAAGCCCGGGGCACCACTATTGGAAAAAAAAAACCCCGGGGCCCGGGAATTCCGGCGAAAAAAAAAAAAACAAAAAAAAAATAGAAAAACCCAAACGCCCTTTTGTGACATCACATTATCAAGGGGAAATAGTTTTCCCTTTATAATGTGAAATAGTCACGAAACGTTGGAAATTTTTCTTTCTTTCAGAGTGGGTTTTTTTGAAATTAGAAATCACCCGTTTACTGGGACTTTTGCAAAATTTTTATATATATATATTTTTAAAATATTTTTAATTTTAATTTTAAAATTTTATAATATTACTAAAAAATATATAAAAATATATAATTTTAAAATAATTTTTGATCTTTTTATATTAAAATTTTTAAAATTTAACTTTTTTATAACCCAAAAAACGATTTGAACCCCTGCCCCGCCCCTTTTAGGGGAGGGTTTGGTGCCTGGGGCCAAAAGTTCAGCTCACAAGACTGCCCCTTCCCCTTAGGCCCTTGGGGCGGGGATGGCAGACCAGAAAGGGGCCCCCTTTTTCCCACGGCCCCCTGAGGGGGGGGAAGTGGCTAGCCTGGGGGCAGTTGGTCCAAAAATTAGGGGGGACTTTGGCCCCTCCCATGGGAGTCCTTAGGTCTCAGACACTCCCTAGACAGGGCCCAAACCCGGGGCCCCCACTTGGAAAAAAGGCCCCGGGGCCCGGGAATACCCGAAGCTTTAATAAAAAATAAAAAACCCCCAAAAACCCCAATGGTCTTTTTTTCCATTGGGGTCCATATGTTTTAGTTATTTTTAAATTTTGTCACCCCCCTACAAACCTTTAAACCTATGAAAATTTGGGGTTTTATACAGGATATATAACCGGGTTTTTATATTTTTTCCTTAAAACCCAATTTTTGGGGGCTAAAGTACTTTTTGTGGTTAAAAAGGTTACATGCAGCCTTAGTAAACCCTTTGTTAGTCAATGGGCGTTAAAATCCCCGTTAACCAAACCCCCGATGGGTTTTCCCTGAGTAAGTTTCAATCTTAAAAAAAAAGACACATAATTTTTTTAATTGGACCAGTTTTTCCCAACCCCCCCCGGGTAAAAAATTAATTTGTGATATTACTGAAAAAAACTTTTTTCCCCTTTAATTTATCAAGTAAGTAATTGTACCAAGTGCACCTGTGCCTAGAAACTGGGGTTTCCCTTTTTGTGTCAGCCAGGGTGCCGAAAAAAAGGGGGTTTTCCTTTGTAGCGGGCTACCACAAAAAAAAATTTTTTTAGTGATAGCTGGCTATTTTAAAAGATGGGATTTCCTAGTGCTTTCTAGGCCCCTGCTTTAAAATTTGGGTCATCGGAAAAAGAATGCCCTTTAAAATTCGGATAGTTTATGGGTAGACGCCCTTAAAGCCGTATTTAAGGTCAATTTTCCTTTGTAAAAAACCTTTCACAAAGGGGGGCAAGAAGCAAGTAAACTTTTAAATTTTAAATGAAGTGGAAACATTACATTAGCAGTTAGGGTAAAAGATTGTATAAAACTAAAAAAAAGCCCTTTTTTAACAAGGTTTTTTTGGGGGCAGCCTTAAAAAATAAATTAGTTGCAGGTATTCCCTTAAACCAAAAAAAAAATTCTTAAATTTTGATTCTTTTCAGATTTAAAACTAAGTATGAGCTGGAAGAATTTTTGGGGAAAAAGAAACCCGGGGGCTATTTGGATGGGAAAGGGCAGGGTTTTAAGAATTTTTTAGCAAAATTGTTTTCAGGGTCACATTAAAAATTAAAGGGAAATTTTTCTCTAAAAAGGGGGGCGGCAGCTGAAAACTTGGAGTTTCTGGCAGGCTCCCGATTTTAGGTCCTTTTTTTGCACCTTTAGTTTTACACAGATGAATCGGACCTGGAAAAATTGGGGAATTTTTTTGTTAGTATTTTGCCCCCAAAATTTGTTTTCAAAGTATAGGGAATATGCACATATAGAAGGAAATTTTTTTATAATTTAAATTGAGATTTTTTAAAAGGGGGGGAGTGTGTTTTGGGGGCACTAGATGGGGAACAATAGGTTTGTCACTTTTTGTTCTGTTATTTGGGTTTAAGGGGGATTTCTGTAGTGGATCCCCAGGGACCTATAGCGAAAGGGGAGGGAGGGGTGATTTGGATAGTTTTAATTTTAGTAATGCGGTTTTAGGACCCCCAAAATATGTATTTTTTGGGGAGGGTGTCAATTTGGATACATTTATTTATTGTTTAAAAGTGGGTTTTGGAAAATTTTAAGTTGCTGCCAAGGAACTGACCCCAAGAATTTTCCTCATTTTGTTTTGCAACGGGGGAAAACCCCTGTTCATAATTTTAGGTGGCCCTTTGTACTAATTTCCCCAAAAAATCCCTGTAGAACATCTTTTTAAAGTTAAACGGGGGAGTTTTCGACAGTTTTCCTGGGTTTTATGTTTAGGAGTTTTTCAATTAACGGGGTTTTGAACTTGAAAAAGGGTGGGGATAAAATTTTTCATCTAGGGTGATGAGATGCATTTGGAATATCATTGATGTAAATGAGGAAAAGAATAGGGCCAAGGAGGTTGAGCCCTTGAGAAACGTACTAATGTATGTTGGTAAGGTAGGGGTTTATATATATGCAAATGCATGATCTCTGATACCATAATGCTCAAGTCTGAGGTACAAGATGTTGTGGTCTGCTGTATCGAAAGTTTTCCTAAGGTCAATGAAGAGGCCTAGTGGACATTCATTATTTTCAAGAACTGTATAATGGAAGTCTAGCATTTTTATAATTGCATCATTTGTGCTTTTATTTTCTCTGAAACCAAGCTGGCAGGGGTTAAGTATATTAAGTGAGGCTAGAAAGGAGTATAATCTCTTGTAGATTAAATTTTCAGAAAATTTGGATAACAATGGTAAGTTATTCATATTGCTTGGGTCACCACCTTTATGCATTGGAGCAACCCTTGCTGTGTGTAGTACTGTCGGGAGTGTTGGTTTCTAGTGATTTGTCGAACAATGCTGTAATGGTGGGTGACAGCACAGCCAAAAGTGCTTGATGAGTATGCAAAGTACAATCTTGAAGCTGCCATGGACAGAGACCACTCTTGGTGGTGCTCTGGATAAGGTTAACTTTTGAAGGCACTCTAGATGGGGTTTACTCTTTAAATCACTGTAGATGGAATCAACAATGCCTTCAAGTGTGTATTAACTCCAGTCTTGAAGGTGCAGTGGACAGACAATATACTCTATTCAACTCTTGAAGGAGCTACGAGTTCTCTAAGTTGTATTAAGTACAACATGAAGGTGCTGTGGTTTGAATTTGCATCTCAAGGTATTGTTGAGAGTCCATTTTTGAAGCTAGCATGCACATTCTACTCTTGAAGGCACTTTGTGAACAGAGTCCACTCTTTAAGGTGTTCAGATTCTAGTCTCAAAGTTGCAGTAGACAGAGTTTACAGTACAAGTGTACAGTCTGTACTCTCGCAGAGTACTACGGTCTTGACGGCTTTGTGGATCATGTTTACTCTTGAAAGTCGCATGGATTGAATCCACTCTTGAAGACAATGTAGACAGGATAAACTCTTAAAAGATGCTGTGGATGGGATCAACGTTTGAAGGCACTATGGATGGGGTCCATTCTTCAAGGCAGTGGATGGGGCCCATTCTTCAAGGCACAGTGGATGGGGTCCATTCTTCAAGGCACAGTGGATGAGGTCCATTCTTCAAGGCACAGTGGATGGGGTCCATTCTTCAAGGCACAGTGGATGGGGTCCATTCTTCAAGGCACAGTGCATCGGGGCCATTCTTCAAGGCACAGTGGATGGGGTCCATTCTTCAAGGCACAGTGGATGGGGTCCACTCATAAAGAAAATCAACAAAATAATCTATGAGCATAATACAAATAATGCATAAATTAGACACATGTGCAACACTTGGGTATCTTTATTGATCCAGGAGAGAGAAGGTATGCTTAAATTTCTTGGCTCGATACCATTTACTGGCATAAAGGGAAGATGAGGGAGAGAGGAGGAGGAAGTTATCTGTGGCTGAATGTTACTCTGACAGAAACAGGTATAAAATAAAGTGGGAGGAGAATCTGGGAAAAGAAGTGTATATGGGGGATTAGTAAGTTTATTCAGGTATACACAAATACAGTTACATAGATTATCATACATAGCAGCACATGTGTAGAGAACCTAGGATAACCAAAAAAAAAGTCAGTGTGATTTATTTCCATTGAGATATGGATAAGGGTGAGGGAAGCGATGTATATAAGGAATATGAGAAAGGGTGAGGTAGGTGATTTACAGGGAAAAGGGGAAGAGGAGGAGGTGGTGTATAGAGGTGTGAAAAGGAGGCAGGAAAATGTGTATAGGAGTGGAAGGTGAGGTGTGTGGTACCCGCTGTCCAGCCAACCCTTGTGTTTCGTCAGTGTGCGCCAGACTTCGGTGGGGAGTATACGCACATTCTATCCTATCACGAAAACCCACTGTTTATTTCGTTCTCGACCTATTAATTCACCAGGATAAAAATACCCAAGTGATACGACTCCCTGACCTTCAACAGCACTCAAGCATCACATTGTCTCGTGTGAAAGCCGTGAAAACAAGTGAGAGTTTTAGCAACACAAGAAGTCTACCTGTAACAGGTGAGTGTTATAGGAGTAGTGATGCACTCTCACATTCTATATACATTCTGTTATTTATCACCAAGTTATAAACACCATGTTGTGCAGCTACTCTGAAGTATATAACACTTCACAAGGTTAAATTAAGGGCTAATAATGTTTACTACCTAACACAGGCAAAAATGTTTTTCTTTGTGTTTTCACCACACGATGGGATTCCTGTCATATTCCATCACTCGGGAAACTTGTTATATTCCATCACAGAGGGTGGAATTCCTGGCACATACCATCACACACGATGGGTTTAATACGTTTAAGTAATGTGTCAGCATGATCTGGGAAACTTCAGTGAGGCAATAAGGATGTCGTCAAGGATTCATTAGTCACGGCAGCCTACATAAGTTACCTTCCGGCAGAGTTTGTTACATGTACATGGGGGTTACACATGAAGTCACGAAGATCGTATAGAAAGGCAGAAAACGTCTACCACAGTACAAATAAAAATAATAACGGTATAATAATCTTTATTTCTACATGATACAATTTATAAAAAAAATGCAAAATAATACTAGAGGTGACTTCAAAAACCCTACATTAAAGGCTATATATAACATGAATCCCCTCAAGGAAGGTTCCTTGATGCTGGTGAGGGGCTCTTGATCTAGGGAATTGCATCTGTGCTCCGGTTCCCTGAATCGAGCCTGAGTACCTTCCATCCCCCCTCCCTTGCGCTGTATAATCCTACGGGTTTAGCGCTCCCCATGATAATAATAATAATATGAATCCATTTCCAGGTAATGGTTTAAAAAATTAATTACATTATCTGAACACACATGGATTGTTTGCAGGAATGACTAAAACTGCTCAGGTGACCTTGAGCCTTCAGGGCCTGACTGGTAATGTTTATTTTGTGGCTGACTGGATGGATGAATGGATGTTTAGCTGTCTGGATGGATGCTTGGCTATGACGTACTTGTGACTGGTTTCGAGGATTCTTTTATCCCTGCAGTCCGGTCTGAGACGAAGCTTCCTTATTGACTGGTCAATCAGGCTGTTTGTGACAGTGGCCCGCAGTCCTGCGTAGCTATCACAACTCGGCTGTCCAAGAATCTGCAAAAAAGGGTTCATTTTCCTTATGAAAACTTCTGCCTTCACTCGGCAATACATCTGATTTTCCTGGTAATTGGTTGGACTTCGGATGTTGACATTGTTCTCTAATGTGTTAACATCCGTGGCCCAAGGTTGGTTAATTGGCTGCGTGGACTGATAGACGTCTGGCTGCTTAGCTAACTGGATAGATGGATGTATTGCCTGTTGTGTGGATGATGACAGGTTGGCTGTCTAACTGGCTACCTGCTTGTTTGGTTGGTGGCTGCCTGACGTGCTGGCTGAATGATTGTTTATGTAGAGTCATGAAGCAATGTTTTGACCACGGTATCAAGGATGCTATTCAGGCTTCCCCTCCGTCATACCTGCCTTACCTACCTCCATTCCCTTCTTCCATATTACCAGCCACTTCGGTGGCAAAATCTAATCTTCCATCCATCCATCCCCTCCCTCTATCTCTTTAAAACAAATTGGATGAGATACAAGGCTCTAACTCGTCAATGTGGTTGTGTATGAAATAACATTAGAGGCTGTAGTAGATAATATTTGTGAAAGAATGCGTAATAACAGCTGTGATAGTGTTAGCAGAGGTGTTGAAGATGGTTGTAGTATCAGTAATAGTAGTAACCAATAATAGTAGTAGTTACAGTATTGGTAAGATTATGTTCAATAGAGTGACCTATTATCCAGTAAAGTCTTAAAAGGCTTTTTTATTTGGGACCTTTAATTTCTTGTGGGGTATAGTGTCGAGATCTTTCTCATATTTCAGGAAAATAAGTTCACTTAGTCCTGCCTTTCCTGTTTTACTTGTTATTCTGTCTTAAAACTCCGGCAAGCTCGTGAGAAGGATTTCCTGTTTTGTACCTTGGTTTCCGCTGGTAGCGGCCTCAGCTCACACACTGAGGGATCGGGGTTCGATTCATGGAAGGGTTTAAACGTTGGGCATGTTTTCTTATGCCCGTTGCCACTGTTCACCTAGCAGTAAGTAGGTACTTGGGTGATAGCCGACTGTTGTGGATCGCATCCTGGGCGAGATGATTAAAAGATCCCAGTGGAAATGAGCTGGTCTGACGGCAGTTGCCCTTACTGAGTTAACCTGGGTTACTCCCCTTTTGGATTAATAATTATTAATAATAAATCATCATCAAGTGTTCCATTTGCTTTTTCACTGCCTTCTCGATTGGGGAAATTATAAATATAAGTGATACTAGATTATAGTTCAGTGACTTCATTGTTTGATTACTGGAACATTATATTGTATTGCATGAGGCACTAGACCTGTGTGGGTTAATCAGCGCATGCAGAGATGGAGGCTCGATCCTTCTCCCGCTAATGGTGCCTTTGATTAACCAGGCTTTTGGTGATTTCCAGTGGAACAAGGTTCACCATTTTCCAGGTTTCCGGCAGCCTGCCCATCTGAAGTCAACTCGTTGAACAGCCATACTCAAAGACTGTGCCCTGTCTGAGCACGCACGGTGACACCCCAGTTGTACAGGCGAAAAGTCTGAATTAATTAAGTTTGCAGCCACGGGGAAAGAAAAGGGTTAAGGGAGTTAAGCCTCCCCCAGAGGCAAATGCCTTTGTTTTAATTAATGGCTAATTTCACCACAATTAATTGACTAGCGCCCACAAGAACGGTTAGTTCAACTAATTTCACATACTTAAAAAATCATATTTTTAAAGATAATATCTTCGATTTTTTCCGCATCTTATTTTTAAAGGGTCCCCCCCCCCCACCCGAATTGAAATCCTGACTTAAGCTTTACATCTAATTCTCGGTATTCCCACACCAAATACTGTTCATGACCACTCTTAATGCACTTTACGCAGCTTAATTTTTTTCCATACTCTTAATTAATTTTTGTGTTGGATCTGTTGCTGTAATCTGTCGCTTGTAAACCCGTAGTAATTATTTTCTTCGTATTGTTTTGCAAAAACTAGCGGTAAACCCGTACGGAGTCATACAACACTAATCATGAAATCATTCTGGCTCGACTACTTTCTTCCTATCTTATGTCTCCAAAAATGAACCAAATTGTTATGTCCACTAAGAACGCAATCAGATTTTTGATCTGGAAAAGGGAAGGGCAGCTTCCATTTCGACCAAGTTTTTTTATTTTTTTACCTATTTTTGGTTGTCTCTACACCTTAATGCTATTACTCGTTTATTTTCCTAAGTATTGTTCTGCAAAACTCTATGAATACTTTTCAATTGTCTGTGAAAATTTCCCAAATGTAAATTAATATTTTTGTCAGACGTTTACTCAGTGAATGTTTTGCCGCAGGTTTGCCATAAAGGCCACCTGGCCCTTTTGTTTTGGGGGCTTCTGGCACCCTCTGCCCGGGCCACTTTCAGCCCCAAAGAGAACACCTTTGAAAGATTTACCTTTATGACTTTTAAAACACAAAAAAAAATAATAAAAAATAATTTTATTTTTATTATTTCAAAAGCATCAAATTTTTTATTAGTATTACTAGTAATATACAGTTGCAATAAAAAATACTGTAGTGTAATAGTACAGTGAAAAAGTAGTAGTAACGTATTAATAAGACAGTAACAATGTTTATTCCTTTGAAAAGCTTACAGTGTATGGTTTACATGCTATAAAATAAAATTAAAAAAGAGGCCACTAACATCCTAGGAATTTGGGCCCCTATACAAATTTTCGTACTTTTTAATTGACATGGTTATGAAGCATTACTTTTAAACATACATTAAAAGATAAACTAATTAGATTTACATAGTGAGGGTATTACAAATGGTAAATTTTAGTAATTTTTATTCAGTAAGGGGATTGGATTTGTCTTGCATGATACACTGTTTCTTTTATAGTTCCATATTAAGAGTAATTAGGCAAATTTGCATAACTTTAGTTTTAAAAATGGAAATAGTTTTTTAAAAAATTTTTTTTTCTTTAAAAACTTTTAGGAGGTATGTTTGAAATAGGGGGGGATTAAGAAACAGGTGCTTATTTTTTTTGGAGGTGCAGATGAAAAATATGAGAATTAGGTTTTTTTCATTTGGTTAGTGTGAGGGGGGTTTAAAAGGAGATATGACGTTTTTAACGGTTTTTTAAAAATGAGGTCAAATGGGAAAATTTTATTTGGTCCAAATATTCCACACTCAATCCGCATGACGTCGGGTCTCGGCCCGAGCGCCCCTTAAAACCCCCAAAAACAAAAAGGCATTCTCGGGTTTTGGGGGGGTTTGGTAAGCTTATTTAATTTATAGATTTTCCTTCAGGGAAGGAGTGGTAGGTTTATGGAATACACTAAATTAGGTTTACAAGGCATCTGTAGATATGTAAGGGAGACCAAGCCTTAAATAGGTAGAATAGGCCCATAATGTAGGGAAACATTTGGAAAGTTGCTAGGGGGAACTGGGAGCCCCAGCTTGAATGCGGGGCGCAGGTCACAAAGACAGAAAGCGTCCTTCTTACGATAACTCGACTGGCAAAACTGCCGTGAACATCAGGCGGCCCCCCGGTTTCACATCAGACCGGGGGAAAAACTGGGAAGACCTCGAGTCCGAAGTCTCCTCCATCAGCCCCAAAAGTAAGACGAGATATTCCCCCTTTACCCAGGATCTGGCAGGACTTAGGAGATCGTGAGTTGAGTTTTTCGAGGCTCGGGGGCTACAGAGGAATTTGCCGTAAGTACCAGCGTCTCAGAGTCGTCTGAAGCTAGGTCAGTCTGCATAGTTTTAAATAGGGGATACATACCCCTTTGGGTTAAATTTTCTGAGTGCAGGGAGGGCACTAAAACGATTGAATTTTGCAGGAATTATGCCCCGGTTTCAGTGGGTTTCCCAAGGGGAAGTCCAAGGGGGCTAAACAGCTTAGGAATTTAAGATCAGGTATATCTGCAACACCAATAAATTTGTCCTTTATACGGCATGAGGCGAGGTTTTTTTG